CAACCAGGTTGCCTCTGAAGTGTATGATAACAATTCTTCTAACATGAAAGACAGGGAACATGATAATGGACTTCCCTTTATTTTACATACCATATGAATCCGCATCCTTTCTACCAATTTTTTCAACTTTTAAATACAGTCTTTCTGAGATTGCTATAATTTAACTCCCTATTTTAAGCAGTATTCCTAAAAGAAATGCATATTTTAATAACTTAACATGTCTTGTCAAGCATTCTTGAAAGCGGGAAGTGTATGTGGTCTTCCTACAACCTTAAAGCGAGGCACACTTTCCTTCTTTACAGGTAGCAAAGGTGTATTTTTCAATAACTTTCATCTACACATAAGTCCAGCAACTGAATTCAGCTGTTAAGAACTTTTTATATCAAATTAAGTTTTAGCCTATGTCCAATGTACTACATTATGTTAGATCACTATATGGATACACTAAAAGTAAGTAGGGAATAGTGTTTTCTAAATGATCATTTTTTCAAACTATCTGCTAGCACTCTCAATTTAAGTAATGGGCACCAGTAGTTTCCGTGGAAAATGAAGAGGAAAACGAGTACAGAAAATCTCATTTTATCAAACAACGAACTAGACCAAGTATGTCAAACACATGCATTTTCATTTCTCTAAAGAGAACAGGTTCAACAGAGCATTAAAGAACATATTACCACTGAGACAGTTCTATGCCAGCATATCAAATCAGAATACATCCAGGTTACTTTTCTGATTTATGGGCCCCACAACATCCTTCTGCCAAGGTTATATCCCAAGATAAGAGAGACAGATTAACTCTAAAGGCATATGTCATCCTTCATCTTATCCCTCATTCTCCAACAATTATGAATGAAACACCAACTTCCAAGGGATGATCTAATTAAGAATTATGAATTTTGCAAGCATAATCTAGATGCCAGTAAAACAAATCCAAAGCAGTTACTCTGTGTTCTCTGAAATACAAAAAAATTGATACCTTGTATGCACTGCTGTACTTGGTCATTCTATCCTTAACAGCAGTAAATTCTTATTTTATATTCCTAGATTTTTTGCCTTTGTCTTTTTTAAATCTTTTTTTAATGTTATCTTTTGTACCAGGGATCAAACTCAGGACCTTGAGCTTGTGAGGCAGGTGGCAGAACCACTGAGCTAAATTCCTGGTCTTGCCCTTTGTCTTTTGATTTAAAGTATTTTTACAAGTGCTCCACATTTCTTTCATTCATTCATACATTTGTTTATTTATTTATTTATCAATAGAGAAATCTCTAGTGGCTTTAATTCAAATCTCCACTGCATGTTTTTTGATTTAATGAGGAAGAATAAATTACTAGTTACAATTATTATTAATATATTGCTCTATACTGAAAGTTAGCATTAGAAATCTAATCAGAATTTTTAATATCTAAAGTATATTAACTTGTGTGGCACAATTGCCATAGAAAACATTTAATTTCTTCTGTCATTACATTGGAAAGGAGTTATTTCAAAACATTTCAAATAGCTGAAGATCATAGAGTGTGTAGGAGGACAAGACCTCAGTAAACACAGTTATTTTCATTAAGGACTAGGAGAAGACACCGTATTTTTCTTTCTAAAATGTTCCTTTTTATTGCCTCAAAAGTAATTACAATCAAAATTGTTTTCCGTCATGTACCAAGATGGTATTGTTACCCAAACTCAATAGGTTAAATGCTTTGAATGTTTTGTTGTTGTTGTTGTTGTTTTGTTTTTTTGTAATGGGAATTGAACTCAGGTCCTTGCACTTGCAAGGCAGGAGGCAGAAAATGCTTTGAATTTAGTACCCACAAGGGAAGATAATTTTTTTGCTGATTCATTTACATGCTCAGACTTAGCAGCCCTTTATGACCCAGTAAACACACTTGTAAATCCTAGAACTAGAGCAAAGGGTACAGCCTGGAGTCACGTAACTGAATAAAGCTAACCAGCCTACACAGAGGTCAAAAATATTTTGACAGTTGTGGCCTAAATGGGTGAATAGCCATAGATAAAGTCATCAAAGGCTTTCATTAGTTTAAAAACACAGAAAGGTAAAATTCTCCTAAGATTTTTATTCTAGTAAAAGCAGCCACTGAAATGTTCTGGCTACTCAATGGTTACCTCAGTTGGTTTAGAAATGACCCAGAAGTAAGAAAATTTCAAAGTTGCAGCCTTTTTTAGAAGCTTATAAATGCTTATAACAGATTGGTACTCAGGGAGCAATCTGCAACTGACTAATCCTCCCAGAGGCCAGTTACATCAAGAATTTGTAAAATTGTAGCCTCAGAACCCTAGTGTTTAGTTTATTTCAACAAACATTTAGTTTCTTTAAAATGTGTGCTAAGTATTATACATATTATGACAAGTGTAGAGAACATTAAATTAGGTGTGACCCAGTACCTGAGAAGACCAGTGGAGGAAAGCAGACACAAATAGTAAAAATGTATAAAAATGATGCTGTAGATTTACAAATTGGTATGTAGAGAAAACTATAAGGATTATGTAGATGGAATGTGGAGGAGGTTTGGAAGACAAGAAAGCATAGACATTTTAAAAAGAATACTCAGAACAAACTAAGGCAAAATGATTTGAACAAATATCTAAAATACAGAGGCAGATAGATATGGCTTCAAATGGTTTATAATTAAAGTGTGATCTAGAAAGTTTTTGCCTGAAGTTTTAGTTTTTACCTGTGTGAAGTAACTTATTATCTTCCTTATGTTTTAATTTCAATGACAAAAAAGAAAACACAAGTGCATATTAAAATCAATGTTTTCCAGGGATTTAGCTCAGTGGTTCCGATGCCTGCCTTGCAAGTGCAAGGTCCCAAGTTTGATCCCCAGTACCAAAAAAAAAAAAAAAAAAAAAAAAAAAAAATTTCAGTGACAGTTTTTAGTTTTTTCATAGAAAATATGTTTTATCATGCTTTTTACCCTGTATGTAACCAGTAAATTAACCTTATTAAGTCAATGAAAATAGGCAATTCACTGACAGAACAAAAAAAATCTAAATTTCTTCGATTTAACATTTAAAGTTAATTTCACTATAGACAGCATCACGGAAAAGAGACACCTGTACTGAACCTCTATGAACACTAGGAAATTAGAGGAGTCTCAACTTTCTAGGCTTGTCTCAGTGGAAGCTCAGTAAGTTCTGAAGCTGATTTATCCCACTGTTCACTAGACCCCAGAAAATTGCCTATGGTCAGCTGGGTGACAGAAGATGTTATGACCAAGTCTCCACCTAAAAAAATCAGGAGTATGAGACGTCATAACACTGATTGCTGATTGTTTTAAGATGACTATCTGAAGAAATGATAGCAATTTTTTTCATTAGCTACTTGCTGAAGATTTCTTGGCAAAATGGTATGCTTCCTGAGCAAATTGATCTGTGGCCTCTCATCTGTGTAGTTATACACGATTTTTCATCTCTTCACATCATACATTTTCCAGTCTAGGGCCTAAGTGTTAATGTGGAACTTGGCCTGAAGCTGATGGAGGAAACACCGCTGGAATATCTTCAGTAGTGAGCTGACATGGAGAATGCCACATGATCTGCCAAAAACATCGAACCCTGACGGTGTTTTTAAAATGTAGGGTTTACTTATCTCCAAATTATGCTCTTTACATGCTTACAAAGAGAAAGAAACAGACTTTAGTACTAAAAATAAGATTGTTGTATTACAATGAGTAATTTTAGAAATTTTGTGAATAAAATGATGTACAGAGAGTTTTGGAAGTGCTGTGGATAAATGAAAAATCTTTTTCTCAAAGGAACTGATATTTGAAGGAGAAAGAGATACACACACACACACAAATTACTTGATTACATCAGATGGCTAAGGATGGAGGATGGAAGTAGGTAAGCTGCACATTCAAAAGTAGAACTTGAGTCTTAAGAAGAGGAAGTTTATATTAAAATATCATCTTAGTAACATCAATAGTTGTAAAATCTGCACACTTACCATACCAATGAAATCAACTGAAATGACTGTCCACAAATTTTTTCTTCTTACTTTATGATGCATACATGGAGTAATATAACAAATCACAGTTGACAAATGTTATTTTAGAGATAATGGATAAACAAAATGTAATATAGCCATATAATAGAATATTATTTAGTCATAAAAAGAATAAAATGCTAACACATGCACAAAATAGACAAACCTTGGAAAACACCAAGTGAAAGAAGTTAGGAAAGGCCAGATATTATATAATTGGGAGGTATGAAGGGAAATAATAAGTGATAGCTTTAATTGGTTATAAAGTTTCTTTTTAGGGCATATACATGTTCTAAAATTGGATTGAGGCAACGATTACAGAATTCTGCAAATATACTTAAAACATTGGGAGGGTGAATTATATGGTATATAAATTAATTTCAACAAAGCTGTTATTAAAAAATGTATCTTTAGGGGCTGGGGATTTAGCTCAGCGGTTTGGTGGCCTGCCTTGCAAGCGCAAGGACCCAAGTTCAATCCCCGGTACAAAAAAAAAAAAAAAAA